CACTCTCTAATTAAAATATGTATTTAGTAGCGAATTTCTTCAACTTTTATTAAGAGGTATAGTCTGGTGACATTATTTTTAATCTTAAGTGCTACCTATTACATGAAGACATAGAGGCATAATTAAAAAGGTCTACCTGGTTATCAGTAATAAAAAATTATGCAATCTAGATGCAAAAATTATGGCTCATTACGCTTCAGCTGGAGGCTGAGTGGGTTAATTATTAGAACTTAAACGGATCCATTTTAATTTGCGAATAATTAGCTATTTGCCAGATTTTAGACGTAAATCAAGTGTTGCTACCGATTAGTAATGTTTTACTTCGATATTAATAAAGCTAAATACATTGCTCTTCCATGGGCAGAAAGAAAAAACACTCACCATTCAAGAGGCGAAGAGCTTCTGCGGCCTGACCTCTGTCACGAAAGTGAATAAAGGCATAGTCACGTATCTTCTTCACACGCTCGACTGCTCCTATGTTTCCAATGCGCTGATTAAAGTGGTCTCGCAACGCCTCCTCAGTAGTTCTCAGCATCAGGTTGCGTACATAGAGTATCCGAACCTAAGTTGGAATAAAAATAGCTTTATCCTAACATTAAATTATATACCCGTCTCATATACAGACGAACAGTTTTCAACCTTTGAATGATGGAGGCGATTTACACATCCACTTTTTTAATGATCGTATTAGATTATTAAAGATCTTAGTGTATTTGATCTCCAATGGAATCACTTACTCTGCTCAACAAACGCCCTTCATGACGAGGTGGTTTTCATAATAACAGGGTTATAGTCATCCAAAAACTTCGTCTTGAGTATTTGCATTTAGACCCAGCTAATTCCTTCACTAGGCAACAATACTTCAAGAGGTATTACTCAGATAGAACTAAAACAAGACATTTTACTTTCATTTAAGCCTAGGACAAGTTCCAGTTACATTTTAAGCTGTGTAGAAATCATCTATTTTAAGTTTAGGACTATTGGACAATTCTTGTGTGCTGATGAGACCCAGGCGAGATCGATACCTAATTTCCGTCTGTAGAAAAGAATCTTTTGAGAAGAAATTTCAAGTGATAGTCTATCGCTTTATGCAGCCTTCGAATTAGTTAATTATGGGAAAGTGAACCATCAGAACTTTCATCCCCTTGGACGACTTGATGTAAGTTGGATTTTATTACTAGCTTCGAAACTTTCTAACTATTTATTTGTTTCCCCCATATAAGCTAAAGAAGGCAATTCACCATTAACTGGTAGGATACATTATGGCTTCTACACTTAAAAATATGCTTTAGACCAATAAACGATATATTATGAGATAGTAATGTTGCTTTTCAAAACAAATACACAGTATATGCACTTGTACTTGTACCAGTGTATATTCAAGCAAGAATCATGGTTACTATAAGTGTCCAATCGGGTGTAAATGTGAATGTTTAGACTGGTCGTCGAAATATTTAATAAGGCGGAGTGAGGACATATATTAAGCTCAGAGGCCCTACCTAGCTAGCCTGGGTGATAAAAATAACATATGTGAAACCTGATATTCCTCAAAGCGTAAAATCAAAATGTAAGGGATCATTATTCATTTAGAAGAGTCGTTCACTGAAACACGTGCCTATTGGCTCAAATGATAATGCTGTGACCAACAACAAGATTCCTCTCCGCCATTCAGCCGCTATCTTCCGGACAAGTTTATTTCTAAAATTCAGCCGTTGTCATAGCTACGCTTAAGTAACGATAGAAGACTCAACAGCTTTGTCTATGATAAGTTATTGAGGTGGCTTCCAGCTACTATTTGTCCAAGCTCGTCTCCTATTTACCCTGGGCGGTAGGTTTGAAAATACCGAATACAAATAAGATGAGAGAATCTATTCACCTTTATATGTGTAAGGTTGACTTCTTACTTAAGCTGCAGACTTTCATTACTACCTATCGAATATTGAGGCTTATTTTAATCTCATTGATAGAAATTTTACTCACTTTTTGTTTATGATGTCTAGCCTATTACCGTCACTTTTGAGAATTATGGAAAAATAGGGATCCGGTAATTAGTGAAGCTAAAGGATCGGTCTAGGAAGCCCTTGCTTTATATACAAAATACACATTTATAATATTTCTATGCCTTAAGGACATAATACCAAGATGTTTTCACCTAGTTATTTTCAAACAGATTTAGTGATTGCTAAAATGTGTTAAGTTGAGATATTCCAAACGATATTTCGGTAGTGAATTTTCGGAATACAAGACTAGGAATACAACTATTTAATTTTTATTCTGTCTTCACCAAGAGGCAAATTTCTTATTTTATGTTTGATTCCCACAATTTTTAACATACGGTAGAAAAGCTTGTAGTAGGAAATGACGGGAATAGACAAAATATGTCCTGGATAAATAACATCTCAATGCTTTTAAAACAAGCCTAAAGAATATGGAATTTAATTTTCATCAAGTTTGAGGCGAAAATGATAGGATATTTAAGAAATATATTTATGGGTGAAAAATTTGTTATCTGTACATTTATTTCACAAGATGCTTAAATAAAGGAATAGTCAAGAGCAGACCTTGAAAATAGTGGATCACCTTCTAATGAAATAAGGAAATAAGGCAAGAAAGATAAAAGACTAGAAAGGCATAAACGGAAAGAAAGTAGAGTGATAAAAGCAATGAAGGAGAAATGGACAAGTTAGCGAAAAGTAAGAGAGCAAAAAAATTAAACAAGATGAAAGTTGATATAAAGGAAAGTTGAATGTTATGAATGAAAGAAGGAGAGAAAAAGAGGACAATCAAGAAATATTATTCTAAAGAAGGATTGATATGACTGAATAAGAGAAACATGGCAATTGAGTGAAAGAATAACATCAGAGGTTGAAAAATTAAGTAAAGAAGAAAATAAGAAGCAAGGAATGACTGAAATACGGTAACTAAGGGAGACAGCGGAAGCCAGGGGATGTTGCATAGAAACGAGGGAATAAGTAGGAAAACAAGAGAACATATGCTTGTTCAAATCAATCAAATTCATATTATTTGTTTATAATCACTTGGGCTTGAATAATCGCCATCCAATGAGGTTTTATGAGCATCATGAAAGTTAAGTATTCTGTTAGGGCCAGCAAGTTGCAGTGAAATTTATTATATTTTCTAAAAATGGATTATACTTATTATTATTCATCTAAGGGCACCTGTCAAAAAATCAACTTTATTTGCTTTCGAAGGAATTCGGTATAATTTGTTTAATTTTTATGGCATCGCAATGAAATGTTTAACACGTCTGAATAGGATCATAATTTCATAAACTTCGTCAGGGCTGTATTTT